TTGTAATTGACTTAGAGGTACTTTACCAATGAGCCACATCCCTAGCCTTTTTGTTTTGTTTTTAATTTTGAGACAGGATCTTGCTAAGTTTCCCAGGTTGTCCTTGAATTTGTGAACCTCCTGTTTCCAGCTTTTTGGGCTTCTGGGATTGTGGGTCTGTGCCACTGCAACTGGTTGATTTCTCTTTTTGGAAAGAATAATTTTTCAAGGGTGCACTGATGATTTCCAGTTCAGATTCAGGATCACAAAGTTTTTACATCTTCAGTTTGTATTTTTTGTGTAGAAAGTTTTGCTTTGTACATTTTTCTTGTCTACAAATTTCATTATGAAAGTTAAGACAAATTACACCAGTTCCCTGATGATATATACCAAGTTTTCATTACTGTGACGTATAATAATTGAATAATTAGGTGCAGTTTAAATTTTATATTTGACTCTTCCGTCCACAGATCATTTTGTAGACAGCCTGGGTACCATGTGACTAACTGGTGATCACCACTTTACTCCTTCTCTTTGTTGAGTCTGTTGGTGACTGGTCTCTGCACACTTTTATGCAGCTCACATGTAGACAGCAAAGTATGTGGTTGCATTGCCGCCTTCTCAAAGTGAAGTTGCCTTTTACCATCAAGCACAACTTCATTACTCCAGCCAGTGTGTTGAGGCATTGTTTCAACTTTTAAAACCTGTTATGTAATATGGCTTTTTGTTCTTGTTATTGTCACTGTAACTGGGCATCTTGCAGTTTCTTCAGTTGAGTTTTTTAAAGTCTATCAGGAAACACACAGGGGAAAACATTCTAGAAAAGTGGTAGAAAGTGACAGTGAGTCTTGGTGTGCACAATTGCAGGAAGTCCTGCCATTCCAGAGCTCTGAAGGAAGCCACTTGAGAGTGTGTAAAGTGATAGAAAAAGAAGGTGGCCATAAGAAAATTCACACTGCTGCCTTTCTGACAGATTGATGGTTTGTAGCCCCAGGAATTTATTATTATGCACTTCTTGATATAAATAAGGGAAATCATGGTAACGAATAGGATGAAGATATCTTGAGGTAAGACATGCCCACTGTAGTCTCACCAGGATGGAACTCTTGCTCCAGGATGAGCATTCTAGGCCAGTCCCACCTCAGCCAGGAGTAGGACTGGGCCAAAGCCCAGAAGGGCGCTCTCTGCTTCTTCTAGAGTTTTGTGGCAAGTGGAAGGAGGCAAGAAGTACCCAAGGAGCTTCCACAGAACTTAAGAGCAGAGTCAAGACTCTCATTCCCGGCATTCTTGCTGTTTAAGTTCCCATCCACTCAGTAAATGCCAGTTTTATTTCTTTCATTTTCCCATACATTTATAACTGGCAGGAGGAGAGTCTTGGTGTCCTGACAGGTTTTCAGCAGTCATGGGACACTTGCTGAATAAGATCACATGGCATGGATCTAGCCTGGACAGTTATCTTTATGGCCCCATGGTAACTGCACTAAGTGGATATAGTCTGCCTGCGTACTGTGCAGAGGTTTGTACATGATAGTCTCCCGGTTGTAGTGCAACATTGAACTCCTGGAATGGCAACTGAAAGCTATTACAGTGTATCTGCAGTTTTTCCTTAGGATACATAGCACTCACTAGTGGGTGCAGTCCCATTACTGCAAGTTATATGAGGTTCTGAGATCCTGGGTGATGGTTATTGCAGCATAGTCTTTGTGTCTTCTCAAACCCTGCCTGTAATGGGGCAGAGCTGTAATACCACATGGGTCATTGCTGGATTCCTGCAGCTGGTAGAGGAGGGGTGAGAGGAGGAGTTAACACAGAGGAAACCTGGACTCTTTGTCTGTCGTGGGTACGTTGTGGTGCTGACTATGGTTTCAGAAACATGAACATGCAGTCATTCACCAAGTGGGACTTCTCAGCCAACCACAGGCCATGTGTATGAGGGTGACCCCATGAGATTTTAGTGCAGCTGAAATGTTCTTATTGCCCAGTGGTGTCTTGGGGGTCTTAATGCTGTAAGCAGTGCAGTGTACATGTGTGTGAGTGAAGTGATGCTGGTATGAACAAACCTGTGCTGCCAGTCCTCTGGAAGGGCATGTCAGTTATGAACATGCTTAGCGCTTGGTAATGATAATGCATGACTGTGTTAATCATTGAGATATTCCTGTACTGTATTTTTTGTTGTTACTTGAGAGTGTATTCCTACTTGTTGAAGAGAGAGAGAGAGAGTGTGTGTGTGTTAGTTTATTGTAAATGAGTATGCTGTGTTACTCTAGCAGCAAGCTCATACAGATTTGTGCTCACCACATCCTTTGTTTTCATCAAGAGGCCATATCAAGTAACCTGTGCCATCTGGGTTTGCATTGATATACCCAGCAACATTGCCCAGTGGTGCATTTCTCAGAAGGTACTCCTGTTGTTCAGTGATGTGTGGCTCTATGTCACATGTTAACAGATTTAAACATGAGGATCATTGTGTGGCAATAGACTTCCATAATACTGTTTGTTTATTTATGACAAAGGTCGTTCATACATACACAAAAGAGAAATCAGACTGCCAGATAAAACCAATAATCTACACACAGCATTTAACACAGAATGAGCTTACCAGTTATCCCTGTAAAAGCCCAAAGAATAGACCACCTGCAGCCACGGGGCCTGGTAGGATTCTCATTCTGCATTCTATGTTCTTGAGAATCGGGGTCCTTGATGCAGAAGAAGGGAGATGCAGCTGGAAGCGATAAGGGGTCATGAGAAACCCCACAGCATTGACTTTGGATTGGGGAGATCAGTGTGAACGCAGGATGTACTTTGTCCACACACAAACACGCACACACATACGCACACACTTTTCTCTCTTGCTTTTGTTCACTGAAAAGACCTAGAAATGATGTTTAACCTAGTAGTATTCTGCAGTACCAGACTGTGAAGGAGACTGTCAAAGTCTAATAGATTCATGTCATCAGGACTAAGGCAAGAACCTAAAGAGGTACCCAATGGAAAATGTGGGGAAATTTGAGATTCTGTAATGGTAATAATGAGCACATTGTATTGAAACATCAATACTGCAGCTCATCCATGTGCCTCCCCCATGGAGCACTAGCTGAGGGTGGCAGAGTACCAACTCCTTGTCTTGGAATGTCGAGGGTGAAGAACCATGAGCCAGTCTTTACTTCAGAAGCTGTTCTACTAGGTGACCAACCTAATACACTGGGTAGAAGCTTCTCTGCTTGGGTTTCACTCCACCTGGACATGAAAAGGCTGTCTTGCCTGCACCCTATAGTGTAACAGTGGGTCTGTGCATGGAGCATGAGTGGCTGTAGGGCCATTGTAGAGTGGACACTGCCCCTTGCACCTCTGGTGTGGGACCATGGATGTGCATTCAGTGCAGGGCAGATCTAGACCTTCATCAGAGGAAATAACAGGGAAGGAGATCTGCAGGTGAAGACAGAATTTGGTGACATACCAGAATGGCAAGCCCGTGCAAGTAGGTGGTGGACTCTGCAGTGCAGCCAGCAGCAGCAGGTGCCCCTGGCACCTTCCAGAAGGAGGGAAGGACAGAGATTGGCATGGGGCATGTAAAACTTGTTGTAATTTGATTTTTCAATTATGTAAAGCATGTATCCTTTCCAAGTGAACAGTATCAAGTAAGATGTAGTTGGGTCTGTCTTCTCTTCCTGTCCATTCTTTTCCATATAGGTATGATGCACTTGTGCATACCCACAGCTTTGTACCTACACACACAAAGCACAGACATAGACAGATACACATGCATCTAGACAGTTACACACAGATGTGTGCAAATGAAGGGATACATGTACACTCAGACACATGCACGGATACAAATACACAGTACAAATGTACATGGATGCACACACTAAAGCCCGAACACAGATATTCACACACTTGTACACACGTTTATTCTCCTTTCTCCTCCCTTTCTCTTACTGTGAGTTAGTGTTCTGTACATAATGTTCTCTTACTTCCTTCATGTCAGCATGTGTCCTAGAAGTCATTTGATAACAGTATGTAGGGGTCTTTCTTTGTTTTCCTTTCTTTTCCCTTGTGCTCTCCTTTATTCAGCTAGTTCTCTTTTTGCCCCCATCCTTTTGTTTTTGTAAATAGTATTGCAGTGAATAGTTCTGAGAGTTTGTCATTTTGTGCTTTTCATGTTCTGTCTTCAGGGTACATTCTGAGAAATGGGATGATATAACTCAGTCTTGGAGGGTCAGTGGAATTTTGTAACTTGATATTTTTCTGTATTAAAAATCAAATAGCAGGGCTTGGGCTGTAGCTCAGTGGCACAGCATTTCCTCGCATGCTTGAGAGAGTTCAATCCTCAGCACCACATATAAGTAAGTAAAATAATAATAAAATAATAGTCCATTGACAGATAAAAGAATATATTAAAAAAATCAGATATGCTATGAGTGTCCAGTAGCACATTAGCTGTGCTGTTATTATTGAATATATGTTCTGTGGTGGTAAATGTAACATTTTTTTAGCAAGGTAATATCATGCACTCTTGGAGATTTTTGTGTGTCTCATTTTTTTTTCACTCTCAAAAGACATTAAAGGTAGAAATGACCCCTGTAGTCTCTATAGTAGTTAATATTAAACCTTAAAAGGCAGAAACACCAAATAGAAATCAGGTGATCAAAAACATTGAATGGGCTTGGCATGGTGGTACACGACTATAATCCCAGCAGCTTGGGATGCTGAGGTGGGAGGATTGTGAGTTCAAAGGCAGCCTCAGCAACTTAGTGAGGCCTAAGTAACCCAGTGATTCCCTGTCTCTAAATAAAATATTAAAGTAACACACACAAAAAAAAACAAAAAACCAACAACATTGAATGGCTGTATCTTTTCAGAGACTTGATCTGTCAGTCACATCATATCAAAATGAAGGCCTTTGAAGGTTTTTGTTCTCATGATGTATCTCTTCTTGCCTGGATCTGTGCACTTTAGCTCAGGAATAACCTTCTGTAGTACATTTTGAGAGTTGTGACTTTTTCTTCTCTACTTCCAAGGTTCATGTTTCATTCGAACGGACCAGCTGGATGGCGAGACAGACTGGAAGCTGAAGGTGGCTGTGAGCTGCACTCAAAGGCTGCCGGCCTTGGGGGTGAGAACCATCAAGATGTGTGCAAATAAAGGGATACATGTACACTTTTGTCTTCAGTGGGAATGTCTAGGGAGTAAGGACCTTTCTGTTCATGCCATATAAGTTATATACACTATGAAAATACATTGAGAACTTGTTTTGTTGTTTTCTTATTTCTTACCAAAATACTTCCTGAGGTTTCTAAGCACATAACCTGTTTTATATTGTTGGGGATGTTTTTTTGGCTTCACACTTTAGACTTTCATTTTTCTTTTTCTACTTTTTTACATTCTCATTAAATCTCAAAGTTGAGGACTTTGGTGGGACACAGAAGGTCCATTGTTGCTAACTAGCTTACTCCCTAATAGCTACTCAAGGTACTTCTTTGAGAGACTGGGACTCAACCCTGGTTTAATCAGCGTTTGAGCCCGGTCTGTCACCTGCAGCTTTTTCTAATGAAGCATGGAGAACCTCTCTGATAGAAGGAAGTGAGTTTTGCAGTGTCTCTTGAGCCAGGGAAAGGAGAAAGGCTCCAGCTTGAGTCCATCAAGTGTTTGTATGTCGCTTTAGAAGGTAGAGGTTGGGTCAGAGAGCAAGGTCATGGATGGTGTTTATTTCCAGTGATCTCTAAAACAGCTCTTACAAATGTCAAGAATCTTCTAAACTGTGCGTGCTTCGTCAGCACATATACTAAAATTGGAACAATACAGAGAAGATTAGCATGGCTCCTGCACAAGGATGATACGCAAATTCGTGAAGCGTTCCATATTTAAAAGAAAAAAAAAGAATCTTCTATACTGGCATACATGTATTTTTTTTTCCTCCATTCTTGAAAAAACCCTAGTTGTGGTCATTTGATGTTTGTTTTCTGTTAGCTTGTATTTAATATTGATCTGAGTGAGAGCAGCTTTGTCTTATGTGATTCGATGATTCCTTGGAGAGTAAAGGAAGATTGAGATTGTCTGGGGTGACCTTTGACCACACAGTTGTTGTCAGCTGTGGAAAGAACGTTAGGTACTGCTGCCCTTCGTTTAGTTGCATCAGGATGGGAGTACCTACTGCTTATGCTGCAAATGGTTTGCAGCTGCTGTGGACAGCAGGAGCCACTGAATCTCTCCCTGCTGCACTTTCTGGAAACTAGAAAGTGGCACATGTGGGGCTGGGGTGCCATGCTTCTTCCATCTACAGTGTTTATTTCAGGTAGTCCCTACATTAGAAGTCATTCCTCTGTGTTCTCTGGCTTTTTCAGAACCAGTGGGCCCCAACAAGCTTCCTATTCCTTTGTGTATTCTTCATCATATGAGAATGTGTTGTCCAGAGTCACCGTCACCATCTCCTCTCCTTCTTTCTCTTTTGACAACTTAAAAATACCACATATGCTTGCCTCTACTGCCATACAGAGTGAATCCAGGCTAGATTTGGAACACAGGTTGTAGTTTTCTCACCCTGTGGTGGATAGTGACCGTTCTTAGCTGACCAGCCTCCTCTAGCACCCTTCCATGGAGCCAGGGAAGCAACTTCTACTTTATTTATTTTAAAATATATTGACACTAAAAGAGGGCATCCAAGTAGCAAATCTTATGTGGAGAGCATCCAAATAGCTGGTCAGATAGTAAGAATTATGGGATAAAATGTTTCACAATTTCAGGCTTCTGGTTTTCTAAACTGTGGGAGAAGAGTTGTACCAAAACACTCAGTACCTAGTGACAGATGGATTACCAGACATTATCTTTTAAAATATTTAACATAAGCATGAAAGAAAAAAATTTCATTTTGACAGAACGTTGACAGCTCATTGTTTAAATCTATACTTCTTGGAAGTCTAATAGACTGGAATTTTCCATCACATCCTTCCTGTATTTCTCATTTGGTTGTTTGCCCCTTACCTTTGCCATTTCATGTGCTTGCCAACATGCAGTGTACATGTATGCTCATGTATATTGTAATCCTCCAAATCAGTAAAACCAGATGGAAGTGTGTGTCCTCCCTTTAATTTTCCGAACTTTAAACATACAGAAATATGTCTCTTATTTTGTCTCTGTATATCTTGTAGTCCCACTCATTCCCCAGTTTGGAAGTTCATTTTGAAAACTGCCTGAATTTCTGCTCTGGATCAGGATTTCTCCATTAAAGCCAATAGCATACCAGCTAGATGATTTGTTGTAGTCTGTTAATTCTCAGTGCTCTGTGATGGCTTCTTTACATTCTGTAGGATATATCAGGTATTAATCTCTGTGTTCTGAGTTGTCACAGCTCTTCTTTTCTATGATTGATGATGACAGAAGGCAGATTCTCCTAGACCAGTGGATGAAGAGATTATAGGAGTCAGATTTGCTATCATTGCCCCAATCAACCAGTTGACTCTCGTATCTTCCTAGTGGTCGGGGACAGTAGGACAGCTCCCATGCCTTGAAGTCACAAGTACAGCATTGAGGCACTTTCCCACCCAAAGGGTTTTGGGGGAAGGTACACAAGCAGCTTTTGCATGTCAGAGTAATTGCCCAGCTGTTTTTCATGATGGCAGTACCATTCACTGTCTCCATTAGGAGTGGAAGAGTGGTCCAGAATCTGTCCTCAGCAACATCAGTGTTGTCACCATTTTGATCTTATTATTCATGACTTTGTGTGGTGAGGTCTCTGCCATTTTAGTTCCATTTCCCTGATGACTTGTTTTGTGAGCTTTGCCTCACATGCTGTTTGCTATCTGTGTATCCTCTTTGGTGTAGTGTCTGCCCACCTAGAAAGTATTGTCTAGGTGGTTGTGCAATGGAGATCCTTAACTTTGGCGTTCCAGTCTGTATAGCAGCCATCTGTTTCTTCACTTGCAGTATCACATTTGACCCGAGTCAGTGTTGGAGAAAAGTGCATAGACCATTTATTGTGTTCCATCTCATCTTGGGGGACACATTCAGCCCTTGTGTGTAGCGATAATTGTCAGTTGTTCATAGATACCTTGATCAGGTTGAGGAAGTTCTTCCTAGTCTCATTTGCTGAGAGGTTTTCCATGAGTAGGTACTGGATTTTTCAAAGGCTTTTCTGTATCTATTGAGGTGAGCATGTGGTTTTTCACCATTATTAATAATAATTTTGTGGACCAGTTTTTACGCTTGTTACACTACCAGCAGAATGGGACGAACACTGTTTTGTCTTGCTGAGAGTCCTTTATACATATTGCAGCATTTGACATTTTGTTAAGGATTTTTTATGGCTATGTTCAGGAAGGATATTGCTCAGGATTGTTTTTGTTTAATGTCTTTAGTTTGATATCTAGGAGTATGCTGGCTTCATAAAACAATTTAGAGAGTCATTTTGCCTCTCGTATGTTTCAAGTGGTTGATGTAAGATTGGTGTTATTTCTTTTTTTATATGTTGAACAAATTCACCTTTGAAACCATTTGATCCAAGAGTTTACATTTTGGGAAACTCTTTAATTATGAAGTGAATTTTTTTATGGATTTGGAACTAATCAGATTTTTCAGCAGCTTATAATACTTAATTTCTTTGTGTATTGTCAATTTCTCTGTCGTTTCTGGTTTTCTGTTTTTAAAACTTTCTTCTTGTGATAGGTCACACTTTTCTGCATTTTTTTGCATGTCTGATAATTTTTTAATTGGGTGCTGGATATTATAAAATTTTTAGGGATTTTTTTCCTCCTTCAGAGCCTCTTATTTTTTAATTTTTTTTTTTTTTTTTTTTACTTTAACAACTTGTAGATGGGCTTTCTCTTTTCAAGTCTTGTTCTTAAACTTCGTTAGGATGGACCAGAGTCCCTTTATTGTGATGTTTCATTTGCGGAGAGGTTTGCCATGAGTAGATACTGGATTTTCATCCTGCTCCCAGGGTACAGTCCTCCTGGGATCCTCCCAGGACCTACTGAATCGCAAGCCCCTCTTGACTCTCAGTCTCTCCCCTGCTCTGTTGCCCTGGGATGATGCAGTTTGGAGCTCTCTGTTAATGCTTGGTGTGGCCAGATGTAATCCCATCCTGTGTGTGTACATGTTGACAATTGGTAGCAGGTTTCTGCAACTTTGTTTGCCTGGCTTCTTCCCAATACCTGCAAATGCCAGCACAGTTTACCTAGGTCTGGTCTCTGTCTCCAGAGCTCAAGGTGCCTGTCTCCCCTGCCTAGCTGCTACTCTCACCCTGTGGGGTGTAATCACTCCAGGATAGGAATGGGCTGCTGTGGGATGCATGGCTGTGTTTGTTTCTTGAGGTCATTGTGTCCAGTGTCTGAAAGTGACTGTTCTAGTTGCTTTCAGTGGGAAGGCAAGTCTCACACCAGTTAATTCAATATTGTTTATAGAAGAAGTCCTTGACTATTTTTTAATGAGAAATAAGTGCCTGTGGACTATACAAGCTACATGGCATTTCTGATGATAACTAAATTTAAAGCAAATAGGTATTGGTTTCTTGAGGATTGGCTTGTCAGTAGGGATACATCTGCCTGGAGGACTGAACTTGCTGACCAGGTAGCCTCTCTCTGGGAGAGGACTTGGTATGTACCCTCTGTTTACCTCAGAAGCTCCTCAGTCCTTAGGATGCACTCCTTCAAAAAAGAATAGAGGTTTATTTATTTTTACTGACTCCAATAGTAAAATGTGCATTAAAAATAATGCATTAGTCATAAAATGGAAGAAGCCCTCAGCATTTGCCTATAGCATTGGCTGCCCTTTGCACACATTCTTCCTGAAAGGATGTTCCCTCCTCATCACATAGCTACACACCTGTGCAAGAGGTGTGGCCCCAGCTGCTGTTTGTTAGGTAGGGTGTTTTCTCAGGGTTATGTTTTAAGTCTATCTTTCATGTAAGGTTTTATAAGTTTTACAAGATTTTATTTAAACCGTATAAAAGTTCAGCATGTTTATATAATATAACCTGCCAGTATTTTAAAATGGTATTGCCTTTGATTTTATGCTTAGACTATTTCCACTCATTGTTGTATTTCAAATGATTACTTTTTAAGTGATTTCTGTTTTTCATACAGAATTTCTAATCCAACAGACATTTATTTTGAGACCAGCTATAAATGAGAATTCATACTTTTTTAAGAAAACACAGACCCCCTCAGTCGGCTGCACTAGTACTATTCATTGAACAACTGTTGTTTTTTCCACCAATTTACCATTGCTCTCAGATGGTTCTGCAGTGTCTGACTGTAACCATCCAGTTTGAATGTGCCTGTGCTGTCTACATACTGTGGCCCTAGTATATGCTACAGGTGGAGCATCCCCATCTGCTTCTTAACTGCTAGCTTATATTAGCTTTTGCCTATAAAAGTGTTGTTTTTAGTTGGGACAATGTTGGTATGTTTTCCTCTATGTTTTCAGGTTTGGTGTTGTGCCCTGAAGGCTACCAGTACCCATTTGTCATCTTAACTGCCTTGTACATCTCTCCATAGGTAGAGGCTAAAAGTGAGAGGCTGGTCATTAGCTTTCATAGTAACACAGTTTCTGAAGTGCTCCCTGCAGTTCTACATGGTGTCCAGGGACCCCTGAGAAGGAAATTGCATTGTGCCACTCAGTTTGTGCTGCCCAGTGAGCACTCTGGCCAGGTCAAGCCTTCCTTACGGTCAGTCCACTTTCCCCTCTGCAGTCATGCCTTTCTCCACCAGAGTTTCCTTTGCCCATGGCTCCCATCCTGGCTTTTGCTCACCAGTATCCTGCTTGCCAGTAGCTTCCATTTGCTTTTCATTTTTTTAATGTGGCAAAATAAAGCTGCACCACTATCTTAGTCTTAAGATATCTGGTTTGTTATTCTCTCAATATTTGTTAAA